TAAAATGCTATTCATGTAGCGAGTGTTTCCTAAATTATCTAATCCAATTTTCTTCTCAAGGTTTTCAATACAACTCTACTGATTCGTAAGGAAGAACATGTTTCACATAATCACATTAATTACAACATTATCATTATTTATGAACATTAATATGACAGGAACAATTAGAACAACTGCTGATATTAATACCTTGAAGAGCCTTGTAATATATTTGAACTATCTGATTTGACAATTTCATGGGCATTAACATTCAATTCTTGAAGTGAAGAAGGCAATGTTGTAACGCTGGAGCTAGCTGTTGGGATTATTTTTTCAGCAATAGTCTTTTTATGAGAGATTAATCGAACGATGTAACCCTCAGCTACTGTTGTAGACTTCTATCCTCCGTTATATTTGCTTCTGTTTCCGCTAGCAAAGAAGCAGAAGACCTAAAACAGTTATCTGTATATTCCTTTGGTTCCGGTAGGTTCAGAAACTCAGCAATGGTACAGGACATTTTCCCAAACGTGTTTATACCAAATGGGTTGGCACTGCATTTATAATTTGAGTATTTAAGAAAAAACGTTAATGATTGATAACAGAAGGGCGTAATGCAACATATTTATTAAAATAGTCAATGTTTTTTCCAACAATGCAAAAAGAACGACCTATTTTTGTTTTTGTATTTGGAATTTGACCAATCAATGATTTATCTATCAATTTGTTGTCTTCTATTAATAAATGACACAGCTTGTCACGCCGGCAGGCTTCATATATTCCGAAAATAGTAGCAACTTTCATCCTCAAATATTTTTCATCTGGCGTCTCATTTATAAACCTCTGGACTTGTTCAAACCTAAGAATTTTTGGGCCTATTACTTTCATTTTTCCGCTTTAAGAATACTATTACCTTGAAATATTTAACACCATTTTTAACGAGCGCACTTGACCTTATCATTGAAAACTTGCTCCACAAAGTTGAAGAGTTCCATATTTTTGATTCCTCCTTTAGATAGGCTAAGAAGAAGGTTCCGCTGAAATTTCCTTCGACGTTTTTAAGTCTACACCAGCTAAGAAAATTAGAATATGCGATGTCGTACTGCTGAGCTGATTTTTTTTGGTAACAATTCAATTGAAGCTCTTTTTGCAGCATCTTCAATATTGTCAAGAACTTTAAATGTAAGTTTAAAAAAAACGCGTGAGCTGTAAACAATACTGTTCGTTGGTAACCAGGTGATTCGGCGTCACACCTGACACAGACACTTCACAGCAAATGCGATAACATGGAAATAGTTAGCTGCCTACCTGAAATATAAAACATTGTGTGCACATTTCACAAACTACTTACTAGTAGGTGGTTTGTGGCACAGTTACCGCAATGAATGGAAGAATTCCTGCAACGAGTAGTAGGCTCTCTCAGATTTTTTAATAGTTTTTCTGAACTGAGTTTCAGTCAATTCACCGTCCTAATATCAACTGATGGGTGAATAAATATCTTGCCTGCAATATAAAAAATAGAGTATCATGTGAGATTTTCAGTAGGTAGGTAATGGGAGTTTCAGTATGTGCCTATTGTTGCGGGTAGCATAATGATTAGGAGTTCGGGCAAATTTTTATTTATATTTATTTACCAGGCAGACCAACACCAGAATCAATAATGCTAGGATTGTAAGTATTGTGTTACTGTATTACTTACGGGGTCTGATCTGGAATAATGTAGTGTGTAATGACCTTTTTTGTAGAATGAGCACTTCATTGAGAAGTGTTGAGTTACATATTCCCCAAAAAGGTATTCCATAACGTACGTGATAATCTAATAGAGCGTAATATGCCATTTTTGTTGAACTTTATATAATCTTTGGGAAAGAAAGTTTTTGGCTTTCTACTACTCCATCTGATACAAAAAAATGGATGAGAGAATCTTCCAANGTACCATATTTGAGTAATGATTTATGTCGGTCAAGAAGATAAATGAAAAGGTAATGAGATTTTTTTGAACATGAAAAGGCTACAATCAAAACTAAAAGTAGGACTAATACTAATGCAAGTCTCAGTTTACCAGAAAATGTATGTAATTTGTTCACAACTGGAGATATTTGGCATAAGAGACTAGGACATATTTCAGAGGCTTATATGAAGAAAATGAACTTACCAACTTCCAAGAAAGTATGCAGTCCATGCCGAGAAGGAAAAGCCACTAGACAATCTTTCAAAAATAAACAACTATCAAGGTCAAAAGTAATTGGAGTGTTGATATACTCAGATGTAGGAGGTTCAATAAGAACAACAAACAATAATGAAAAATATTTTCAAACAATAATTGATGACTATTCCCACTTCACTACAGTATATTTACTAAAAAGGAAGAGTGAAAGTTCAACTTAATGAAATACATTAGAGAATTAAAGACAAAGAATAAGAATGGATAATGAAGGAGAGTATACAAGTGCTGAATTGAAGAATTTCTGTATCCAAAAGGATATACAATTGGAATACACCCTCCCTTACACTCCTCAACAAAATAGAGTGAGTGAAAGGTTGGATAGAACCTTGCTAGACAAAGTCAGAACTATGCTGGCAGAAACTAACCTACCAAAAAATCTGTGGGGTGAAGCTATACGAACTGCTGCGTACCAACTCAACAGGTCTCCCACATCGACAGTAAAAGAGGATGTTCCAGCAGAAGTATTCCTAGGAAAAACCAATTTAAGTTAATTAAGAATTTTTGGTAGTAAAGCTTGGGCACTCAATATCCCAAACACAGGCGACAAACTAGAAGCAAGAGCCGTTCCTGCGAGAATGGTGGGATACAGTCAAAATGGTTACAGATTATGGAATCCACAGACTGATCAAATAATTGTGTCAAGGGATGTTAGATTTGATGAAAATAACATAATTTATGGGATCGAAAATAATGAGAAAGACCTACAGAAAAATGAAATGGACATAAGAAAAGATAAAGCAGAAGATGAGACAAATGAGGAGGCTCAAGAGGATACTCCTGAAAACAAAAGTAGAAGAAAAATAAAGTTACCCTCAAAATTTGCAGATTATGAAATGTACTATGCATATCTCTCGACAGAGATTCCAAAAGATTATAGAGAGGCAATAAAATCATGTGACTGGAAGAGTGCCGTAACCAAAGCACACCAAAGAGTTATTAGCACATGAAAAACATGGAACTTGGGTGCCAGCGATATTATCATCACAAAAAAGAGCGATAGACACAAAATGTGTTTTTACAACAAAACAGAATGATCAAAAGAAAGCAAGATTAGTTGCTACTCAACAATAAGATTATTTATTACTTATGCCTTACAAAACAATTGGAACTTAATGTAAAATAGAAAAAAAAAGAAAAGAAGGGAGATAAGCAGAAGAAAAAGAAAGAAACACAGAAAAGAGAGGCATAAAATGAATAAATGAGAATTTTATGTTTTATATGTGAAAAATCATGTCACAGACATAATGATAAATTTGATGATTTCTACATATTTATGATAAAAACATATTGTGTATAGGTGTCAACTGATCAATGTTATAAAAGAAGAGAACCGGATTCATTCAATGGGTAGCCGATTAAATGAGCGTGCAGTGTTATAAGAAAAAGATCTTCCAAAAAGAGAAGTTTTATGTTTAAGTGCAGTCAAAAGATGTTCAAATCTCAAATTTAGATTATGTATATCGGTTCTAAAGCACAGTTTCGTGAATAGGTAAGCAGGTTTTACAGTGAATTTGACCTTATGGAATAAACTAGCAAAATGCAATGTGCGCCTAGCATCCATGTTCAGCTGAGTTGTTCCAAGTATTGAGACACATGCTCACGTCTCCTTACGCCTGTGACGAGTCTTATGGACGAATTCTGCAGTTTTTGAAGTCTCTGCCTGTCAGATTTCAAGAGTTCTGGACCATAAACAGTATCGGAATAGTTGGCATGAAATAGTACCAGTGTGTCGCAGAGTAATATTTCATTTTTTGCTCAAATGATTTTTAGTCGAGTATACTAATATTAGATTCATATAACCCTTCTTAAGAATCTGAGAAACATGTGTAGTGAAACGCAGAGAATGATCGAGATAAAGGCCTGAATTTTTCGTGACGTCACTTTTTGGTAATTGAACCCCATCGAAATGTTAATCAACTCGCTGCAAAGATTCTTTGCATTTGGCCTACCGAAGAGCATGACACAAGATTTAGTTGGGTTTACAGAGAGACAATATTTACTTGATTCAGTTATCAGAGAGTGCAGATCATGACTCATTTGTTCTAGCGCAATATTGAGTGAATTTTCATCGAATTGTAAATACAACTGTGTATCGTCGGCGTAACAATGCATGGAAGTGTGAAGAAGGCAGTGTGAGAACTGAGAAGTATATTAAACAAAGAAAAGGGGACCTAAAATCGATCCTTGAGGGACCCCATTATTTATTTTGAGGGTATTCGATTTTTGGTTATTGAGTATGATACACTGAGAACGGTTCAGCAGATAATTTACAAGCAGGGTGACCACGCTAGGGGCAAAACCCAGGTACTTCAGTATTGCCAGAAGTAGAGAGTGGTTAATACGATCAAATGCTTTAGAGTAGTCCAGCAATACTAGAGGACAAAGTTCATTATTGTCGGCAGAACAATGTAAATCATCAACAACTTTCAAAAGAGCTGTTATGCAGCTGGGCTTTGGCCGGAACCCTGATTGACATGTAGGTAGTATATTGAAATGAGTCAAGTACCTAGTTACGTATCTGCAAGTTTACAAATTTTTCAAATGCTTTAGATATGGCACACAAATTACTAATTGGGGGAAGGTCAGTCAGACTCTCTGCTTATTTTGGCTAACGGAATAATATGCGAATGTTTCCAGATTGTTGGATAAATATTTTTTTGAATACAGTCATTGAATAAGTGGCATATGAAACGGAATTGAAAGAGTTTGTATTCTGGCTCGCTTTAGTAAGTGGGGTTTGGTTAGTTGTTTGGCCAATTCTGTGAGAAAAACACGTCGTGGAATTATTTTGTTTGTATTAGCGGTATAAATTATTTGGGAATTTATGCCCCCAATGTTCAACAAGGAGCAAAATAGTGTTAATGTTACTGACCCTCGTAACACAATATTCCGTTTTCATTGTATCAACTACGTCGACAGCCCCCTTAGTAAGATTATAGAAGGTAATTACCGCAGGTTTTTGTTGATCTCCTGTATCCAAATCAATTTCATCGTCATCATGGAAGGTTGATAACATCAAAACATTTTTATGGCGCTTTGGTATATAGGATATCAGCATACAGCGGTTTGAATTTTGTCCATAAGCGAACATACTAATTTTTTCCTTACGAATTTTAGTATTGAAAAATATGGGTGGAATTTCCCTTTTATTCTTCCTTAGGGTTCTCACCAAAGTAATTTTATGATGTTCTAGAAGATCTTTTGCTAGAGGGATTGATGTGAAGTAATTATCAACTGTAACGTTTCTGCCGCTTCCACTACAATGTTTCAAAAGTCGTTTGACAACACTTGCTGCATCGTTGGCTAACTGGTAAGGCCCATTTGGTTGTTTTCCAGCATAAACTTCCAGATTATGTGTGTAGAACGTTCGAGCAGCTACAGCCGCATAAATCTTAATACCGTATTTTGCCGGTATGGTTAAATATTCACCAACACTGTAATTTTGGATACATTTTTCCACAAATGAATCGAACAAGTAACGGCCAGGTGCCAAATTATCATCTTTTGCTCTTTCTTCTCTCGTAGTTTTGTCATCAAATCGAATTGCCTGGATAAGAGTATGAAAACGATGCTCAGATAAAACCGCTGCAAAAAACTCTGGGGCGGTACTATCAGTATTCCACAATTCATCTGTATTCAAATGTTGAGCTCGTTTAACTCCTGCTAAACAAAGTACCCCTATAAATGAATTTATTTCATCAAAATCGGCAGGCAAACAATATCTATCGCGTTGATATGATGCCTTCATCATTCCAAATTGCATATTAGTGCATTCAAAAATATGGCTGATTATTTCATCGGGAAAAAATAATTTGATAGTATCTATGTTGGTTTTTGAATGTTTGGCGATATTTTTGACTCCGGGTAATTTGGTAACAATGTTTTTGAAGCGCGCTTTTGAATTTACTCTAGTTTTGTGTTTCAGCCACTTTGTTTCACCATCTTTTGATAGAAAGGAAGCAACTTCAGTGGTACATGGTTTCTACATGGTCAGAACTTTCTGATAACTCTTCAAGATCAGACTGCTCCGTGTCGGTTTCATGGTCACTATGTTCGGATAATGCGTCTTCATCTGAAACGTCACATATCACACTCGGCGAATTGTCATCCAGCTCTGAAACCTCCCATAATGCCAATAGTCGTCTTTGTTCCTCTTCATAAGACATCTTGAAAGACATATAATGGTATATTTCGACCAAGCCAACCACTCGCGTAGTTAGATATTTTCTAACAAACTAATGATTTACGACAGCGTGATCACTCGCGTGTTAGATTTCTTCTAACATTGCTGACTATGATGTCACAATCACACTGCAGCAAACGCCCAAGTACCGGCATCCTATAGAGGCTGATTCACGGTGGATGGCACATTAGACGTTTCTGGTGAACCAGACAACGGATCACTTTGAAAATTTGATGAAGGGCATATTCGGACATTCTCTAGCTAACCAAAATATTTTCGACAATGCGGTGTTGCCGCTTCTATTAGAAAGCAGTAGCAACTTTGATTTTTCAAATAGAACACTCTGTATATAATTTGTGTCTGATTTCCTTCTAAAAAAGTAACAGGCTGGTTTGAATTTCTGTTTTTTGTATTTTGTTTCTCAAGGAGATGATTGCCTCTCCTGAAGTTGAATAGCTCAAAACCTATATTTTTTGGTCACAAACTGGGATCATATCAGACTGTGCAACACCTATCATAAACTATTGGTTATCACGCCTTGTACTTAGTGTCCGTAGTTTTTTATTTCAATTGCATGGTTTTTTGGTAATTGTTCTGTGTCTGCTTCTATGTTTTCTTCCTTTATATTATCGGGTACTTTGGTTATGAATAACCATATCTTTTTGTATTGATCATCATGCCCATGAAAATTACTATCACCTTCACCACTGCCGATTTTTATTTTATTCTTATTTTCACAACTCCTATGTGTCGCCTCTTGAAAACCTTAACTGTTCTTATTATCATCATTTAAATGAATAATATCTGCCATAAACCTCCTTTGTTCATTTTCTAGAGCATTTGTTTGATTTTCAGTTTGTGGCTTATTTTCAATTTTAGATTTGTTAATTGTGACACCCTGTATGTTGTGATTTCTCACAATGTCTAATTCATCCATATGTTGTTGAATGTGTTTTCCTGGTTATTTATTTTGTTTTTTATTGAGGGATTTGTTTTTCTTTAATGGATTCTTCATTTTTTGTTGGAATTGTTATACTGTTTTATGGTTTGGGTTGGTCTGTCTTTAATTGATTTTTCTTCCAAAAATGCAATTTTTGTCTGCAATAATGGATTCCTTATCAGCAGAAATTTGCCTAAGTAATTTATTTTCCTCTCTCAGGAAGTCTTCTTCAGATAAATAAAGTAGGTCATCGGCTTGTTTATCTATTCATCCGCTTTTTTTGGTCACTAGATTGCTTGAGGCACTTTGGATGGAAGTAGTCATTACATTGATACACTTCACTTTGCTTACTACTTTTTTCGAGCAATGTTTACAAGTAAAATTTTCGTTTTCTATGGGAGCTGGCGGCGAACAACCTGCTCGGCCCGCCATATAATTACCAAAGTGTGAAAAATTATGAAGATATTTTGTGTTCTCCAAAAAAAAACTCTCAATTACTTTTTGACACGAAGACAAGGTGGAACAGCATATGTTCAATGCCAGAGTGGTTCCTCCTCTTGAAGAACTGTATTAGTTGGGGTTCTAATGCCTAATAAAATAACAGTGAAAACGATCTGTTGGAGGGATGCAATTCTTCATACTGTAGATATATATTTCAAATTCATGCTGAAGAAGATTTGAAAAGTGATGATACCATTCAATAGAGCGAAAGAATGTTCAACCAGGAGAATAAAAGAACGAAGATCAATCATTTCTAGTGTTTTCATACTTAAATAATGCCAATATTCCTTATGAAATTGGAGGGGACCAACTGTCAACCAGCAATTAATAGAATTGAACAGAAATTATTCTTGTTATTTTTTAATAGGTGAATTATGATTTTCACCAAGTATATTTATTCACTTCAGTAAAGTTTTGTTGCAATATTAACGTTTTGTTTCAATTTTTTACTTTATAAATTAAATGAGACTCATATTCTCAGTAAAAAATAAATGTATTTGTATGCCTAAGGATCTACATTAAATGATTTGATGAGAATTATGCAAGGTTTAAATAAAAAATTTCAAATTTCAAATGACTCAACTGTAAGTTGAGGTGGTTCTGGTTATCCCTGACAAAAATGGATGCAAGTTTTTTGTTCAGTGTATAAATTAATAAATATCACAAAAATAGAACTTTTTTTTGTGAAAAATACTTTGGTTTTAGGCCGTAACTTATCGGGGTAAACTAACAAGTTTACCCTTTCTACACCTGTATAAAGTTTTTCATTTTAATTTCATTTTTCGGATCGTGGAAGGTGAAAATACCCAAAAGAGGTCGATAAAAAACTGATTTTCGTCCACCAAAAATGACTTTCTTTCAATAACTCTTATTCCGTCATGGTGGATTACAACTATTACACATACAATAGTCATAACTCTTATTTCGTCATGGTGGATTACAACTATTACACATACAATAGGCATTACTTGAACTTACAGAAGAGAACTGTCATATCAAACATAAAATAACATCTTTGTAAATGTGCAGTAGGACACAAAGCAGGACTCTGTAAGGTAGGAGATTCAAAACCACAAACATCGCAGCTAATATCAATAAGTTTTCAATAAATGATAAGAATTTGTTCATCATATTTTTCTGAATATTGTACAAATATTGTCAAACCTATTATACAAACAATTGCGAATTACTTCTCAAGCAATACTTATATCATATTAAAGCAATTTTAGATCTTTTTATCTTTAAAAATATTTGCTAAATATTTTCTACAATATTGACACTGTTCAAATTTTAATTGAAGGTACTTACCCATGTTGCACAATCTGCTAATGAATTCTTTATCGGCAAGAAATGCAGCAATCATCAAAGCTGTTCTACCATTTTCAGAGTGTTGATAATCAACAGATACTCCCTCAGACAAATAATACATGCTTAATTGAGCAGTCGCTTCCTCATAGTGAATTCGGTAATCATAGTTTTCACTAAAATTCATATATTCCTCAAGTGCATCATCTACTAGTAAATTTTCTTCTTTACCGGCAACTTCAGATTCTACAGAATACAAAGCAACTGATTTTTTGTCTTTTTCTTTTTTTAGAAATGCTTTCATCTTCTGTGACATGTATTTGGTTAAAACAAGAATATTCTCTAGAAACATGGTTTCAATTATATACAGACGTCCAGGAATAGTAAGCACTCTTCCTTCTCCAAAGTAATCCAAAAATTTGTTAACATCAACTGTTGCAGACATCAAAATAATTTTAAGGTTAGTGTATTTGCTGACAGCTTGTTTTAAACATATTAAAAGAAAATCAGACAATTTATCCCTCTCGTGAACTTCATCTAAGATGATATGAGTTATATTTTTCAATCCATCATGCCCACTCATCAAGTTCCTCAAAAATACCCCTGTGGTACAATATATCAAATTAGTCTGCAAACCGTATTTCTGTTCCAGTTTAATATGATATCCTACAGAACCACCAACTTTATCACTTCTCTCAAAAGACACTCGTTCAGCAGCTGTTATTGTTGATATCCTTCTAGGTTGAGTGCAAATAATTTTACATGGCTGTCTCATTTCTGCCATGTCTTCCATAATGAATTGTGGAACTTGTGTTGTTTTTCCTGAACCCGTTTCAGAAGAAATAATCACTACTCGGTTATTCCTGATAGTTTCTATGATTGTATGTTTTTTCTCAAAAATTGGAAGATTTGATCTGATATGCTCAATATTTTCAGAAATCATCAGCTGACGAGGGATCTCAGCAGGTGAGTTGATTAACTTACCAACGATCTTATCCCTATATAATGTTCTAACATTATTTTCCATTTCTTGATATGAAGGTGCAGGAGCTTGTACAAAATCGCGTAAAAACTTTTGTGAATTTGGACTTGGTGTGAGAAGAAATGATTGATTAGACAACTGTTTACCTCTCTTTTTCAAATGTAACTTTCTATCTGGCTCTTTCCCGAAAGATTTGGAAATAATATTCAGTTTTTGAGCTTTATTGTGGATATACTTCCTCTGCAAGTTGTTGAGATTTGCAGAAAATATATATTCGTTAGCATCTGGATTATCCAAGAACTCTTTAAAAATATTGTCTATTTCTATTCGAAGCATTTCTGGGGTTGCTTCTTGACATTTGGGATCAAATTTTCGATGTGTACTTCTTGAAGTTTTAGAGTGATGGTTATATCTGTGAACAAAACATATTACTAATACCTTGGCCAAATGACAATTAAACTATATACCTATCAAACGAGTGATGTAACACTATTGTCTCTCTTACCAGAAAGTACTAAAAATGATACCTTTGTACGTACATTTTGTCCAAACTTGATATCTTGTAATGTCATCAGTTCTTAAACAGATATTGTACCAATTTTCAAGGTAGGCACACTAAAATCAAAAGCTGCGACAAAGGAATATTTTTTATACTAATTGAATTAGTTGGGAGATATATTTCCCTTCAGGCAAGCAGATCAAGAATTCATCTTCATTGGCAAATATGGAAAGAAACGAAATGGATCTGGAGTATAAAGTCAAACTGTACAATTTAAAAGTGAATGTCACTTTTATGATACACGGAAAAAATCTGTTGACATGGATTTTTCTTGTGTGGTCCCCATACGAATTACATCCCATGAAAGTTAAAACTTGTTGAAGCTAAACATTAACGGGGTCTTACTTATTGACCTGAAATTCCTAGTACGAAAGGTCCCGAAGATCAAATGGACTAATTGAATGAAGCTGAAGAAATCCGATGGACATGTTGAAAACTAGTCGGGGTTTTGGGGACAATTCAAAGAAAGTTGGTACCTACTTCGAGCAACAAAAACTGATACATCTAGACGGGAATTACAGAAGAGGCCAGTTTTTCCAGAAACAAATTTGTAATTGAGATTTACACAAAAGTGAATCTTGTACTCAAACAATTGTCATCAGAAAGGTCTTTATCTACTCAATGATAAAACTGAAATCAAGTCAAGTGCATAGGAGTCACTAAGGAGTTGCTACTGAAAAATATATGGCATAGTTGTTTTCCTTGATAGAGATAGACAAATAGATACATTAATAAAATTATGACCTTATAGGTATCATGAATGAGTTTAACCTACTCATTACATCGATGACAGTACGTAATGTCATCGACGACATAAGTAGATTAAACTCATTCGTGACAAGGTCGTGATTTTATTAATTGATTGAGTGCTTTATCTTGTAACATTATACAGTTTGGTGCTGAAATGGCAAAAAGACAAGTGTCTTATTCCGAAACATCAATGTCCGCCATTGAGGATGACAGTGTTTCATGTTAGTGAAATATTACCTTTTTTCGTATTACCTTTCGTATACGTAGCATTCCTGTGAATGATATCTGAATCAACTACATAACGAATGTTTGGAGTAAAACCTAAATAGGAAAAAGTGTTTTTTGTATAATTCAATGTTCATATGAAAGTAGTTGTTTCAAAAGTATTTTTTATTTCGTTTAATTCAATGTTTATATGAAAGTAGTTTTTTCGAGAGGGCGTTTTTCTTCCAGTTTGTGTCTGAAAGTCACTTCTTTTCATGATCTATACATCTTTGAAGGGAGTTAGAAATCAATTGCGTTCTTCCTATATGTGGAAGGTTCTCACATTTTTTTGTGTAACGATGGAGTAGAAAGCCAAAACCTTTCTTTCCCAAAATGAATATCTCCTAAAAATATACCCCTTTCAATATAAATACGATTAAGGTCTTTTGAAATATCGATTTCAATTTCTTGTGCACTTTTTTCATAGCAATTTGAAATGGTGTCATCAGCAAATATTTGTAATTTACCAAATACATTTACTGTAGCCAACGAATTGAAATTTATAAAAAATAAAAAACAGGTCCTATTATTGACCCTTGCGGTACCCCGCATATTTTTTTAATTAATTATGTCGCCCATATAGACATATAACATACATCATTTTTAAACGAACTTTATGGTTCACAGTATAAAATGCTCTCTTCAGGTCTAATGAAAGAACTCCATGTTTTTTGTCTTCTATATATGACGTATCAAATGTCCTATTGACTATAGATATCATTTATTCACATTATGAAAAAAGCTATTGGTATAACGCATCAAAATGGAATCTTTAAAGATTTTTCAATGAGATTCTGATTGTTAATGGAGCTTTAGACCGTAGGCACACATCGGAATTGACAATTATTAAATCAATTTTCGATATTATTAACAAAAATGTTAAATACTAAGGGTTGAACAATATGGCCCCATGGAAAACTCCGGAAGTAACTGTTTGTAGATTTGCAACTGTTCATGATGCTACAAAACATAATTCTCTGAGAATTCTGATTTAAAAATAATCAGATTGATTAAGAGCCCCCTGGAAAAACAACATGTTTTATTGAGAAATGAACTATATAGTGACATATTAGTAAGAGTAATGTGTGATGGTAGAAAAATCATTTTATTCGAATAGAGTCGTTCAGTCCAACCTAATTTCAATGGTGCTTGTTTATTTATCTGCACAGGTAAATCTCACGATAAGCTTTTATATCATGTAAAACTTTAGAGCATGTTAATAACAGCATTTTTTAAACATGACTTTTACGTTTGATTCATTTTTTATTTTTCAGTTATCACTGAACATATTCCTCAGTTTGTTTATTTCATTCAATGCATCTTTACAGCATTTGTTTGAACACCACCAACCTATTCCTAACCTTTGCAGAATTATGACCCTAAAATTGATATAGCAGTCATTTTGTTTTCTGACATTTTGTATTTTTAAACGCTTAAACCTTTTCTTTTGAAACCCATATCATGGAGGTGCATAAAAGAACCTAGTCTACCATCTTTGGGAGTCCGCCATATTGAATATAGGATGAAGTTATCTCGTTTTTCATATTCTTTCAGCAAACTTTTCAATTTGATACAAATATTATGAAAGTGCATAAAAAAACTAGTTCACAATCTTGAGCGGTCCGCCATATTGTATTTAGAGTTTTCTGATTGATTCATCCGTTACTTGATGAAGATCCATAGTAATTTCATAAACTACACTTTTCGATTGGAGTTTGTGGAGATCAAATCGTAAGGTGTAGTTTATGAAAAAAAAAAAAAAAATTAGCAAATCTTTCATTTGATACCCATATTGTAGTCCGCCATCTTGGGTGGAACGCTATATGGGATTATTTGTCGCATTCTTCCCATTCCTTAAGAATGCTCAAAAAACTAGTCCTCCATCTGGGGCAGAATGATTTCAGTTGAATCATGAGTTGTCATTCAAACTAAAATTTCAGCTCAATTGGTTGAGGATAAGTGCTAAAAAATACCCAGCCACACACACGCACGTACGTACTTACGCGAGCGCCCTTGACACAACACACATACGATCATATGCAATCGCCCCCAAGCTGATTTTAGCATGTAGTTCTGTCACCCACTTTGTGCAACCGCCATGAATTCTGGAGTGTTTTCGCATTTGAGGCAACTTCTATAGTTGGACAAGAGTAATTTTTCATCTGGGCCAGAGCCAATGTTATCATCTTGCACATTATTCAAAAGATTGCATGCAAATAGAAATTGATTGATTATCAATGTAAAGTACATTGTATAATTTACTTATCAAATACGACAGACTTAAATTGGGTTTTGTTGGTATTTATTTGCTTAAATTTATATAACTTTTAAAACTCAAAAGAAACCATAACACACCATAACTCATTGACCTTATTTCTATTATCATTCATGTTGGTAATGGTTGACAGCTATAAAGTAAACTGCATACAATACTGTTCCATCGTACAGCACTTGAAGGAAAAAATGCATAAATGTGAAGTGTCTCCATGACTGGGCTTTGTCGCTGCTGTGATAATCACCTTCTTTAGAAAACAGCAGTTATTTTATATTCATCATGTAGAAAAATACGTTATAAATTCTTCAAATCAGGATTTGATTGTATTTGCAATGTGTATTGACTTTTTGGGAACAAAATTCAAAAAACAAGATTTCCAATTAATGATATGTATGTAGCAAGAAATGTGGAGAACTGGAGGACGAGTTCCATGCCTATGAATACATTTGTTTAAAAGTGTTCAATATATTTGATATTTTAGCTATTCATTTTAATTTCATTTGTTCTTTCATATAGTTTTCAAATCATAGTACATATTAGATAATGGAAGTCTGAACTAATAAAATTCACTATGAATACCAGTTGAACCTTTAGTAAGATTATTACTTTGAGTAACCTTAAACTTCAAATATGTCATAATAGCGTGATTATATACCATATATACATTAAAAGATCAGCATTTATATTATAACTGCTCCAAACTTATGTTATGAACCTCATCACACCACCCTCGATGAAATGAACCTGAATTCAAGTAGTCGATATCTTGGAGGAAGGGACTGTCTATCTCCAGCAATTCCAATCCAACGTGAATCGCTACATTCGCACATAAGGTCTAACATGCGAGCCTTATCTGGAAACTTCTACAAATAAATCTCCCTCTTTATTTTATCAGGCTAATTGTCTCTTATCTCTCCAACCAGCAAATCTAAATCAAAGTGAATACCTCTCTTTCCAACCCCCTAACCCCCTGGAGTCCCCCAACACTCGGTTGAGTCTCCTTCTTCTATTTTTGTCCACGATGCACCCACAACCCAAAGAATACTTCAATACGCCGATTCTACATTCTACGAACACAAACTAAAACCATGATAAACCAATTCGCATTTTGGTATAGTAAGTGATGAATCAAAATGAATGTCACCAAAACACAAATCATCCTTATTTAACACTCACACACCACAACTTGCCCAAGACTAACCACTGACAACTTGTATTTCAGCTTGTTGAAAGAAATTCCTGCTCCAAAACTTGGTGTTTACTTTCAACTTACATTGGTTACCAAGTAAAATGTAGAAGAATGGGTCCGTACTAGTTAAAATAGGTAGGTACTTTTGAAACAAATGGCACTGTCTTCATTGGAACAAATAATACCTTGCTAAATAAATGTCCTCTATCGAGAATTTCAGAACTATTTTCTAGAGAAGTAAACATTTTTTGAGTGGCAAGAGTCAAATGGAAATGCGTAGAAGGAATCCCTCCACTAAAGACGTTATACTCCCTCAAAATAAAAAAACGAAAAAGATGACCAGATCTTTAAAGAAAAGTGAATCAGGGCCAGCTCTTTTGGGTTTGTTAGTTGTTTTGACTATTTCAATTTGGAATGCAATTTACTGATTCTTTATCAGTTATAAACCCTTGTATGTTGTTGATGACATGATGCAAAATGTCAGATTGGAAATAATTTGGAAAATCAAAAGTATCCTTTCCAGTATTATCACTTATGACGTAAATCATAAACCTACCTGAAATTAGAGTTTTGTTCTCTGCTTTTGCCTTCCATATTTTTGATATTGATATAACAAATTTAATAAAAAATCCTCATTCTTCACAAGAATATTGTTTAAGTAGTTTACAATTGGTGTATTGGAGAAACAACAGTTTATATTTTTGATTTCTGGAAATTTATCGGCTTCACCGCTTCGGCACCATATTGCACACAAACAATAGGCAACTTTTAATGGCGGGAAAATTTTGCGCAAGGATGTGTTCCAAAAGTCAGCTGAAATATGTAAATGGTTAAATAGTTATAGCGATTATAGCACATACTTTTTCTGCAGGCGTTTTCGATTGGCGTTTGGTATCATCAGAGGTATAGTAAAACTGACAGTAATTTGTAGAGTGGTTGAGTTTCCAAATAATTGGAATTAAAAAGAACCACTGAAATTATTTTAGAGAAACACGACAAGAAAATCATTATTTAGGCCAACGATAACTATCGGAAAGAGTCTGAAATCAGCTAAGGACCCCAGAGAGACATTAGCGACACTCGGGGTAGGTATACCGGACCCCTTATAGCTGCGGGCCGGTCTACATTGGAACCACGAAAAGAAGTTGTCGCCTCGGACAAATCGGCTGTATCTGAACATGTTTTCAAAGAAGGCAGTCACATTATCTGATTTGAAGATACACAAATACTCTATAACACCCGAAATCGCTATATTCAAGCGATAGAAAGTAAATAGAAATTCAGAAATATAGGGATAATTTCAATTGAAAGGAAGAGGCACTGAACATCAATAAAATCTTGCTACCTGTGCTTGATTGTACACAAACAAGGTTATTTAATTCAATCAAGAGAAACGAAGCCCTGCCAACCAATGCTGATATAAAACCGGAGACAAATTCGAACATTGTAGTTTCTGTGTTGAGAAACATCAGGTATAAAAACTTGCAGACCATGGCCAAAAAACAGGAAATAGCTCTGACACAGTTCTCTCCGGCCGAGGAAGTTTACATTCTTTGATTTATTACTGAAAGGAAAGTAATGTTGGACATCGCCGTTTGTACAAGGAACACATTCGTTTTACAAATTGCTATCGGTTCTATATCAACCGTTGATAAGAAACTCGTGACCGCATGATGCTAAAGACAGCAGCAGGTAACGATTACTGTGATAACAATATTTTAATAATAATTATAATTATAAATGCTTTTATTGAAAGGTTACTCAGTACAAGAACAAGAGATACTAATCT